TTTGGTTTTACTTCATAACCTCGAAATCTGGTTGTGTGTTTTCTTGTTGTTTTCAATGTTTTTTGATCCGGAATCGAGTTTTTCCGATTTTAATTATACAAATGAGATTTTTCCTGATAATATAAAGCCTAATTTATTATTTATTTCATTATTTATTATATCATGAAAAATAACAAATGTCAAACTCAGCTGTCTTGTTTAATTCTTAATGCACAAAAATTATGCGTTGTATAAACATCAACTTTCTCTTATGCATTACGCGTTATGAATTACGCATTATCAATTATGAATTAAAATTGTGCATTATCCATTAAGAGTTGGCTAAACCCACCTTTATTGGAGTACTATTTAAACATCCAATGCTCTGCCTTAAACATTTATTTTTAATTACCTCAATTTTCTTGAGGTGGCTGTCAGCAGCTGAGACATAAAAGATACTGGAATAATCAAATATAGATCTCACAAACGATTTATAAAATAACAGGCACAAATTTGGGTCTGCACCCTATTTTCTATTGCTGAAAGCGCGCATAACGTTTAAACCATTTCCACTTCTTTTAATCAGATAGTTTATCTGTTCTTTCCATAATAACTTCCTGTCCACGTACAACCCAAGGTACTTCACAGTAGGTTGTAATGGGATGGTTTTTCCCCCGAGCAAGATGAGGTTTGTTTCTTGTCTTCTAGCTCTTGAAAAATTGCATCCTGTTGTTTTTTCTACAGATAGCTGTAGTCCATTTTTGCTTAACCATTTTTGTGTACTTCTAAAAAAAAAAGTTCGCCTTACGAGTCTAGCACTATGGAAAGAATGCGGATAAAAAAATTGCAATATTGCCTATTTGACTTCCAATAGAAAATACCTTAACATTTATCTATGTTATTACACACCTACATTTATAGGGAAAAAGTAATATTTAAAAACGCTGCGCGCACACCTATGACAGACAGCATAAAGCTCGAAATGAATGGCGTTATTCCCCCTTGCCCTTCAGACGTCGTAGTGCTAGACTCGTAAGGGGAACTATATATGTTCCTTCTAAGATTTCCCGGCATTTTTCTGATGTTTTATTGGTTGTGTATATACAAATATCATCTGCAAACTGAATAAGTTTAATATTGTTGTCTGTAAATAGGTCTTCTAGGTCGCTGGTGTATATTGTGTATAAAATAGGACTTAATATGCTACCCTGTGGTAGGCCAATTTTCGCTTCCTTGGGTTCTGTTAATCCGTCATTTGTTCTTATGTAAGTTCTTCGTGATCGATAAATGTTATATACGTTTTGGACTAGTTGTTTTGGGATGCCAATTTTGTTCATTTTGTCGATCAATATGCTATACACAACACTATCATAGGCTCTTTGTACATCTAAAAATAGGGCGTGATAAGTGCATTTGTTTCTTGTAAACCCCAATTGAATGTCTGTTATAAGATGAGCCAGTGCTTCCTGGGTGGAGGTACCTCTCTTGAATCCGAATTGAGTTTTAGGAAATATGTGGTTTTTTTCTATCCAAAACTCTAGTCTGGTTTTTATCAATCGTTCGTATGTTTTTAAAATGCATGAGGCGAGAGCAATTGGTCTGAATGATGTTGATTTATTTAATGGTTTTCCTGGTTTAATAATTGGTAATATTGGATATTCTTTCCAGTCTTCAGGGATTGGTTCAATTCCAAGAAAAATGTTATTATATATAAGGAGAAGTGCTTCCTTGGCGTTGTTTGGTAGGTGGAACAACATTGAGTACCTATTGTATACCGTCATACCCAGGTGCGGTATTGTTATTTTTTTTCAATGCTCTGAATAGTTCTGTAGTTGTGAATGGTCTTGTTAAAAAATGTATTTCCTCAACGTATGGACAATTAGTTTCTTCTGGCTTCTCACTGACATAAAGTGGTGCAATTTTATCATGGAATTCTTCAATCCATAAATCTGTCAGGCTTGTTGCTAGGCTGTTGCTTTGTTTTCTGTTTTTATAGCTATTTACTTTCTGCCATACTGTTTTATAGGAGTATGCTGATTAATTGATGAACAGAACGTCTGCCAAGATTCTCTTTTTACTTGTTTTGTTATCCTTTTCGCCATTGCGTCAGATTTTTTGTATTCGATAAGATTTGTAATGTTTGGATTCGTTTTATATTTTGAAAAACATTGTTTTCTGTACTTTACAATTTCATCGCATTTTTCATTCCACCAGGATTTTCCTCCTGCCTTTTTATTTTTTTTTTGACGCATAGGTTGCCATTGTTTGACTTAAAATGGCATTTAACATATTAATAAAATGATCGTAATCTGAACATTCTCTATTGGAAAAGGCTAAGTGCGAGCTTGCAAGTGAAAGTTTTCCCAGTAGGTTCTTCTAGTATTCCATTTTTTCGTATAACTGTTGGTAGAGGTAACTCTTGTTGAAATTTGACATCTTTTAATTATTGGAATATGGTCTGATCCATATGTATCTGACAGTGTTTGCCATTCTAAACTATCCTGCAAATCTGAGGTAGTCAGAGATAGATCTATGGCTGAATTGTTTCCACCTGAAGGGTTGATTCGAGTGTACTCGCCATTATTTAAAAAAATGTAATTTGACTCATCTAAAGCTTCTAATAAAATATTACCAGCCTGATCACTGTCTACGCAACCCCCTGCTATATGGTGTGCATTAAAATCTCCGCATATTAAGCAGGTTTTTCGAACGAAGCTAAGAATCGGTTCCATACATTTTTGGTAATTTTGGATTGTGGCTTGATATATACTGAGACGAGAGTTAACTGTGAATTATTTGTAGTTGAAATTTTTATTCCTACATAAAGAATATTTGGAAGATTTAAACTCAAAATTTCGGAAAATTTTATATTGCTCTTTATCAATATGGCTACGCCACCCTTACCGTCATTTCGGTCATTTCTTACTACGTTAAAACGAATCATTCTTAGCAATAATTCAGTTCCGTTCAATACTCTTATAATAACTATTTTATAATTATTGTTGTTGAACAAAATTGAATAAAGCACTTAAAAAAAGGTAAAAAATAACAGAAGTGTCTCACAAAATACAAAATTATTATTAAGGTAACCTTATAAAAAAGTTATAGCACTAACCACTAACCTAAAATTCAGTTTATCTACCTACGCTGTAGAAAAATCCAAACTTTTTTAATTTTAGTTTCAGTGATAATTGATATATACCTACATATAGTTGCTAATTATCAATATGTCAAGCATTTCTTGCTGGAAAATATTCAAAATAAGTGGCAATTTCAGGAAAAAGGTACAGGCGAATTTCGAAAGATCTGATTTGGTGTCATTCATGCAGCATATAGTTGTGTTCAAGACGTTTAGGTTATAATAACATAACATAACATAGAATAGTAACAATAAGGTGTCTAATTTGACTACCTATTAAATGCATTCTATGGTAAAAGTATCATAAAAGTGATACAGTCAGATAAACTTTATAACAATATTGTTATTTAAGCAATTTTTCTAAAGGCTATATTATAACAATAGTATTTTATAAATACCCACACCCCCGCCACCTAGCACCATGATCTGGAAACAAATATACATGATTCAGAACAGGCGATGCGACGTTGTCAAACTGAAAATATTATCTTCAAGTATGGGTAAAAAATAATAAAGAGATTTGCGTTTACCCACCTATTACTGGTTGGTCACCGGTGCAGGCGTCTTGAAAGCCATAGATAATGTAAAACTTTTGAAAAGTTACATATTGGCCGATTGACCCCCATTTTTTTTGAATCCAAAATATTTATTTGAAATTTAATAAAAATTATTAGGGGTTGATGGTGATCGAATGCCCTAGGCCCTCTTACTCACCAGAGGCAGATAATCTGTTTTGATAGTTAGATTTTTAATGCCCCAAATAAACTAACTGGACAAATGAAGCGGAACAAGGGAATTTTTAGTTTAACTTTTGATTCCAATATTACGCGAACTAAAAAAGAAATCACTGAGCGGTTTGCGTAATTTGAAAGATAATTTCGCAAACCGCTCATTGATATATTTCCTAGTTCGGGTAATATTGCAATTTGAACTTAAAGTTAACTTAAATATTCGCTTGTTCCGTCCATTTGTCCAGCAGTTTATTTTGAAAATAACGAGAAAGTCCAAACCAAACACTCAACATTTTTTTGTCATTCCGAGAGTATGTAAGCCTGTGTTTCAACGAATGCCCTTGAAACATGATCACAAAACTACCCTTTTGAATAAGTAGGCACAGACAGCATTTTGTCCTCGTTTGGTTAATTATACATCTTATTTTGTTATCGAGTTTGTTATTATATGACCCATATATTGTAGGTAATTCAGGTAATAAAATTTCACATTTATTTCTATTGAATTTAAAATTGTGCTTTACTGCGAGTGCCAAAATTTGACTTTAACGGGCATTATTCTGTGCTACGAGTTGCCTATAATTAAAAGTCAATATAAAAAACTACAGCCATCAACATTTCCAAAAATTTCAAATATTAGTCCTTCTGGACTGCTACAAATACCATTAGGTGCTACAAATACCATAAGGTCTCAGCTTGTCTACATGTGAAAAAACGACGTCTTTCAAAAGCCAATTTCAATGCGGTTCAATGCGGTTCAATGGTTGAACTATGCTCATCAATGTTTGATTCTGAAAGAGCTCTTAGGTTTCACTGGTTTCAGTTTCACCTTCTGGCCAATTGAAAGTGTCATAAATTCTAATTCGAGTAACTAACTATTCTTTACCTAACTAATATGGCAAAAGCACACTCGTTCCCATTATCCTTTTTGACGATTTCTGCGGCCTTTAAGTTGGTATTAAATCTTTGCTCCCAAAATTTCCAGTTCTCGGATAGGTCACCATTCATAAGCATAAAGGGACTTCCTTTGAAATCCAAATTTTATATAGTTTTACGCCAAATTTCAGTGAAAAATACTATAAATTCCACGCGACTTCATAATATTGATTTGTAGCCTACTTCGCCATGTTATTTGTGAATAAAACAAGTGGTTTATTGTGCACCTTCTATATTCAAATAATAAATTTCACATTGTTTCCATTGTTACAGTTATAGCTATTAGTTTTTAATAATAAAGAAAGGCTCATTACAGATTTTTTATTATTTTAAATGGATTAAAATGACCAATTAGACTTGAAAATTAGAAATTTTCAGGTGAAAATAATAATATGTGCAGGAGGCCTATTGTGAGACAATAGGTCCTTCTTATTCTTGCTTCATTCAATAACTAGAGTCTAGCCATCACATGTGGAGCAACTACGATTTTAGCCGAAAGCCGAACAGAACGCATTGAATTCGAAGGAAGGTGTATATTCGGTTGCAGCAAAAGGTTGGTGACTGGAGCAATGTAATACACTGCTAAAAAAAAAAAAAAATATGTTGATATTTATCAGGAACTCCTTAAATTGGAAATCAAGAGGAAACCAACAACAAAAATAAACCTAAAATCAATATTAATTTTCTCTGTGGAGTAATTGGTACCTTTTTTCGCTCATTTGTAATTAAGAGGAGTAGTTCATTTTGTTTTCATTTTAAAGTGCTCAATACATGGGTTCATATAGGCAGTCTATTCTACCGCCCTAGCGCCCAATAACTGTTCACATTATTAACGTTCATTAAGATTAAATCGAATTTCTTTTTCTGGATCATCCGAAATATTTGAAAGCGATAATACGCCGGCTGATACCTCTTAACTAGAAATATTAAAATATAGGACAAAAATAAGATAAAAAAAAGGACTTTCGTTTTGTTCGTTTTTTTCTATATTACTATTCTAAGTCCGAACTACAAAAATGTTATATTTTTACAAATAATCATTTCTTGGAAAAAAAAAAATGATAAAAATAAGAATGGTTAAAGACACGATAGAAATAACAATTAAATTCTGTTCTCAATTCTCTATGCACCAGAGTTCGCTGTTCGGCTATTATCGGGTTTGCTCCGGCTGTGACGGCTAGACTCTAGTCATTCAATATGAACTCACTCATCTGTTGTCAGTTCAACACATAAAATTGTCAGTACATTTAAAAAATGAACTAGAAAACCAAAAAGCCGAGTAGATAGATAAGTGTGTTGCGGTTTTAGGATCTATTCTACGTCTAGTAACTTCACGCCACGTGGTAGCTCTTCATTAATTTTCTTAATAACCTCTATTTCTGTAATGCTTCCAGTAATCTTTAGAACTTTATGGCGAGATTTGTGACCCTGAAAAAAATGTATCCATCATAAGAGTGGTTTACCTAAATGAAATCGGAGCTGTGCAATGTCTTCAGTGAAAAGACTTGATACACTAAGCCCTAAGCCCTTTCTCAAAGTTCTTGGAGTGCCTTAGAAAACCTTGAAGCACTTCACAATGTGACCTTGAATTATTTCATACACAAAAATCTTTTAGCTCTTAAAAAACCAGATAAGAACTCAAAATGTTTATCCGATGATGCATGTCTTCCATGAAAATTATTGATTATGGATGCAAACGAAAATAGTCTTTTAGCTGATGCACTCGAGGGTAAAACCGTAGTAAAGTTCGGTTAATTCTCCTCGAGCAAAAAGATGACAACTCCATGTGACCAGTTTTGTAACTTCAAATATAAGATCACGTGATCTTCTGGCAACAATGTCATGTTTTAGCTCGCCTTGTGTTATAGGTATTTTAAAACATAGCTCATTTAGATAATTTTGTTTCTGCTTATGCACTTTTGACTGATTCCATTTATAAAAAGTCGAAAAATTTATCATCCACCATAGATTCCATCACAGCTTCATTTCGTGATGAAATTGTTACCAAATATTGATTTTGCACCCTCTGTCACAATTTTCTGCAATTCATCTATATTTCTCAATGATGATCCTTCAGGGTGGTGAAGCATTAAAGTTTAAAATTTTGAAATAAGAAAAGCTGCGATAATGGCATTGTTTGCTTCTTTGCTCAGACGAATGTTGTTGCTTGGTATCGCTATCTAAATGTTCTTATTTTATGTAGAAGGGCTTTAAGTACATTTAAAGTGCTTCGAGCTATTTATAAAAGCTTGAGCTCACAGAAGTGCTTCAAGGTCTTTAAAATAATTGAATCTCATTGGAAAAGCTTCAATTATTTGTTTTCAATTATTATAGATTCCCAAGGACTTCTCTAAAGTGATTGACCTCGTGATTGACTTGCCAGCCCCAATAAACCACGAAGCAATCAAGCTCTGCCAAACTCTGCGTAAAATTAAAAAAAAATAATTATGTACCCTCTCAAGAGTAATGGAACTGGACTTTATTCCTAGGAGTGCAGCCATGTATTTAACCAATTCTGTGTTAGCTGACCCTTCAACAGGAGGTGCATTTATCTGGATGTTTATTCCCTCATCGTTTACTTCTAAAATAGATAAAAAAAATTATATAAGTTTCATAAGTAAGTTCATAGCATAGCAAGAAGCAATTTTTGTTAGGTTATTTAAAAAGTGTCTAGTTACCAAAAAGAAAATTCCAAATTTTGAAAATATCTTAGACTACATGTCACCAAATTTTAGGTTCATAGGTGAGCTTTTCTAATTCAAAAATTACTTGGCTAATGGCTATTATGTACTCTTAGTTGAATCCAAGGTTGAACCTAAAACATGCACCCTCAAACCCAACACTTTTTCCCTGTGAGTAATCCAGAAATCTCATATCATTATCCCAAAATTCCCTTACATGGCACATGTACACAAAGAAGTCCAGTTTGAAAAAAGCAATTATTATTGTCCCTTACTCAAAGGAACATACTCCATTCAATTTTTGGAGTAAGTAAATTCCTCCCAAATTCTTCAAATCCACCGACAAGAATCAATAATTCAGTACTGAAGAAATCCAAATAATTCCACACAGAAAGCAAAGGGTTAGCACAATGCAAAATGGGTCGCCATGTTGATCTAGGAGAATGCCAAACACCAATCCAATTGAAACGATTTTAATAAAGGTTGTAGATGCAATTCATTACAGTTAAAATTTTCATTGATATATCTCAAGGGTGCTCACTGCTGCCCAGGTTTGCCAACTCAAGGAGTCAAAATATTTACTTAAGTAACAGTCTCTTCTTGAATGCAACATAGAAGTGCAACCATGTAGCTGAAATTTGACAAAAACATTCTTCAATCGATTATCTACAATCCTTGCTACAATCCGAATATTCTGGATTTTTCCTATTATTTTATTTGCGTAATCTCATTATTTCTCAAAGCCAGATATAGACATGAATTATTTTTCATTTTGAGAAAAACGCAAAAAATCGGAAAACTAAAATATTCGGATTGTAGATAATTGATCAAAGAATATATCGGTGCGAAACTAGCAGCGCATTCACAGCAGCCGAAGTGTGAAATTAGCAGCCAGTTATACAGCAGTCAAAGTGTGAAGTCAGCAGCCTGTTTTAGCAGCTATTCTAAGACAGAATGAATAATGTCATAAATTATAAACTTTTGTTTTCAAAAATATAGCTTTATCTCCATTGGCCTACGTTATTACAAGACGCAGAGGAATCGAAAAAAAAAGTAGGGTGTGAAAATTGGTACTCCGCGATTAAATTTGGTAGTATTATTAATTGTTAACCAGGTTTATTTTAGATTTTTCTATTAAGGTCAATTTTCTCCATCTAAGCAAGGAGACGCGACTTGGTATAGGAGCTCTTTAGGAAATGTTTAGTGATACAACCAAGTTTGATCGCGTAACTCCGTTATTGAAAGTTACTTCTGATTTATTTTCGATTTTTCCATTAAGTTCCGTTTACTCCATCTTAGAGCGGACGCAAGGAGATGCGACTTGGTATATAGTGGAGCGAAATAGCCTATGAAATGTAAAAAAAAAAATTTTTGCCGTACAACCACATAAAATGCCTATATTATTATTAACTGTCTTAGGGGGCATCCGAAATGGCGATTTACGATATTTTTAAGTGGTCGAGAGATTTTTTATTTAGAAAAATAGCACCAATTTGGATAAAATCGAAAAATGTAAATTTTAAGTTCACACTCTAATATCTCTAAAACCAACAATATACATTGCTGTACCGAAATATGTTCTATATTTTTTAAATGACGTTTCAACTGTTACGTCACAAAATATGACTCTAAAATTTCACTAAGCGACAAACTTTTTTATTTTCAACTTTTTCCACATACATGCTGCGAACCAAAGAAAGAAGAAACATTCAAAAAGTTTTTAAATTAAAAATCTTTTATCTCCGATGTATAGTTTTTTTGCTATGAATTTTACAAAATCGCGTAATCTTGAAAATTCAGGCTTAGCGTGCACGGGATCGGCGTCAGCGGCTTGTCGTTTTTACGCCATTTAGTAGGTACGATTTTGTAGCTGAAAATATTTTTTATAATATGCAGACGGGTCAGTTTTTTTTTTTTTTTTAATTAGAAGAATAAAAGTAAAACATAAAACCAATATTGTTTTTAATCCTTATAATAAAGTAGGTATCTTGTTTTTAGTATCTATTCAACCTCTTCTTCTTCATTTTCAGACACCTCCGTTTGTTCCATAATTTATTTTTGATCGAACCATTACATTGGGGATCATTAGACCCCATCTTTAGGCCCGACAAGAGAGAGGGGGGGGAGGACGGGACAAATTCCCGGCGCCCGTTAGAACTGGGAGGCCCGGGTTCATGGGTTCACAGTGAAAAAACAAAACCAAATTCTTAGCTGATACATGCACCTAAAATTTTATGATAAAAATAAAATCAAACTTTGAATGATAAATGAAATTATTTACTCACTTAAGAAAATGTTGATAAAAGGCCGTGTTAGTTGGTGGCAGTTCTGATGATGGCTTATTGGTTGTTGTAGCCATACGCAAGCGTAATTCATTGAGTGTTTTTATATAGCAACAACACGTATTTTGTAGCCAGCTTCAATACTTTATTCTTTGAGAGAAGGGGTAATGCCAAATATTTTAGTTAGGCTGGTTCTTTTTTAAGATGTCAAAACAGTCTTTTTCCAACTTTATAAAAAGCACTAGTAGCGCCTCATCTGGTTAAGCAGGGAATTGCCAAAAAACAGGAACAAAATTCTTTACCAGAATTTTCAACAGCCATATTTGGTGGAACATATCGTCTCGTTTCGCACCATGGCCCAATTCGATAAATAACTCAACTGCTTCTAAAGTAGACAAAGAGCAATAAAAATGAATCAATAAAACTAACACATCCGTATCTATAGATTTTATCAAAATTCGTTCGCTTATTGGGATTCATACACTTACTTTACAGAAAAAATCATTCGTATATCAGCTCCTTCTTAATTACTATACAAGTCCCTCAGATATTTCGTAAAATTCAGGTAAATTTAGGTACAGAAACTTTGTTCCTGTTTTTTGGCAATTCACTGCTTAACCGGATGTGACACTACTAGTGCTTTTTATAAAGTTGGAAGAAGACTGCTTTTGACATCTTAAAAAAGAACCTTCCTAAACTAAAAGATTTGGCAATTTTACCCCTTCTTTCAGAGGATAAAGCATTGAAGCTGGCTACAAAATTAGATACTGTTGTTGCTATATAAAAATAAAGATAAAAATATAACAATACCTACTTAATGAATTTGCTTGCGTATGGCTACAACAACCGATAAGCCATCCTCAGAACTGCCACCATCAACTAACGCGGCATTTTATCAGCATTTTCTCAGTCACCTGAGTTGATCTACTCATGTAGATCATTTAATTTATTCATACAAAGTTTGATTTTATTTTTATCGTAAAATTTTAGGTGCATGTATCAGCTGAGAAATGGTTTTGTTTTTATAATAACCTAGCAAAGATGGGGTCTAATGATCCCCAATGTAATAGTTAGATCCTGGAAAATGAGAATTGAAATCCAGTCTTTTCGAGCCAACAACCAGTGCGCCAATTTATAAGACAAGACAAGGTTTAAACTTGTACTGTGCAGATAAGAAATGGATGAATTGAAAATGCACCTGCATTTAGGAGGGGCTGAAATGTTGTTATGAGTGTAGCTGTAAGCAGTGCAAAAATTAAAAATAAATCATGGAACAAACGGAGGTGTCTGAAAATGAAGAAGAGGACGTTGAATAGGTACTAAACACAAGGTACCTACTTTATTATAAGGATTAAAAAAAAATATTGGTTTTATTTTTATTCTTCTATTTAAAAAAAAAAAAAACTCACCCGTCTGCATATTATAAATATAGGTATGTTTCTGCAGAAATCACAAATCAGTCAGAGCAAATTTCATTGGTCGAAAACAGTCAGAAAACCAGTTTCAACCAATGAAATTCACTCTAACTGATTTGTGATTTCTGCAGAAACAGACCTTATATTTTCAGCTACAAAATCGTACCTACTAAATGGCGTAAAAACGACAAGCCGCTGACGTCGGCCGATCCCGTGCACGCTGCGCCTGAATTTTCAAGATTTCGCGATTTTGTAAAAGTCATAGCAAAAAAACTATACATCGGAGATAAAAGATTTTCACTTTAAAAACTTTTTGAATGTTTCTTCTTTCTTTGCTTCGCAGCATGTATGTGGAAAAAGTTGAAAATAAAAAAGTTTGTCGCTTAGTGAAATTTTAGAGTCATATTTTGTGACGTAACAGATAAAACGTCATTTAAAAAATATAGAACATATTTCGGTACAGCAATGTATAGGTCTGTTAGAAAGCCCAATAAATGGACTTTATTTTGGTAAAAAAGTCGATTTCCTAGCTTTGTTAGTTTTAGAGATATTAGAGTGTGAACTTAAAATTTACATTTTTCGATTTTATCCCAATTGGTGCTATTTTTCTAAAAAAAAAATCTCTCGACCACTAAAAAATATCGTAAATCACCATTTCGAATAGCCACTAAGATACTTAACAATAATATAATAGTCCGGGGGCCGAGGCCCTTTTTTCCAAATCATTAATAACAAGCTAGTTTTCTCAATGCAGCTTCATTTCACCGAGATGCCCAACTTTTTTCTCACGAAAATTGCGAAAACAGGTAGCTAACATACTGCGCAGGTGTCGATTTGGTGATTATGAAAATTTAATTAATAACAGTTAGATTTTTAGCTAAATGTTGAGATAATTTTATGAATAATTTGAAACAATATTTGTCCGACAAAATAAAGGGTTTGGTCTATGATGTCCCTCCCCCTCAAACATGTAGCAATTACGTTACATAAAAAATGATTAATAACCAGTTGATTTTTTTACTGTAGCTTAGTAAATATTACTACAATTAAATGGTCACACTATCCTACAAATAAAGAGGTAACTTTTTCCAGTCCTACACTCAAAAGTTGTCACGGTAATATTTTTTTCATTAATAACTGTAGGTCACAAAAGCCACATGATAGATTAACATATTTTCTACCGAAATTAATCAATGTCCTACA